GACCCTGGGATCATGACCTGAGCCGAAGGCAGAGGCTTAACCCACTGAGCCACACAGGCGCCCCTGTTTTGTTTTGTTTTGTTTTGTTTTAATTTCATTCTGTTTTTCATCTCAGCTGTTTTTATTAAAATTCAAGGTCTCATTAAGTTTTATGAACTCAAAGTCCAAATGGAGAATCTCCCCTTTGGGTTATATTTTTTCCCCCCAGAATGGACTGTTTCTCAGGAATCCTCAGTCTGTTTCTTCTTTCGTTGTTGTTTTGTAATTGCCAAACGTTTGGAGCTGCCAGGTCATTGTTTCCCCTCTCGCTCGTGCTTGGTGGACACAGGTCCCCCAGACCTTGGCCCACAGCATCTGTTTTGGGTGGGTTCCGCCTCCCCTCCCCTTGCTCCTGATCTGAGTGTTGTTTTGTTTTGCTGCAGCTGTGATCCAAGGACGTGGAGTGCCATTCCCCAGCTTTTCCACAGCCGAGTGGGACCGGCAGGGTCCTAGGCCGTGGTCTGGCTCGACAGGTGCACTCTGAGCTCTTGTGGTTTCTACCCAGTGACCTGGATCCACGGCTGCTCCCCACGGTGGCGGGAGGGGGTGACCCCCATTCCAGGAAGCCACTCGACACATCTTTGGAGAGTTTCTCACACTAGCCATGGACCTTGGACCGCCGGTGCCTCTCTGGGAGGGTCTGAGTGGAGTGTTCTTTGCCTCACTCCTCTGCACACCACGTCTTCTCTGCGGCCTGCAGAACGTGGGGTGCTGCCACGGGCCAGGGCAAGACGAGGGTGTGGGGAGGGCACCCTCCCCACGCCCTCGTCCTGCCCTGACACAAAGTGGAAGGGCGTCACACAGCCAGCAGCCAACATCAGTCATATTTTAATGCTCTCTATAAAAAATATGGTTAATGTAAAACAAAACAAAACAAAAAAAAACAACCCTGACAACAGCTGACTGCAAGAGAGATGGAACCGGACAGAGCAGGAAGGAAGGTGGACAGTGAGGCCACCAAGGACAAGGGTGGGGTCAACTCGTTTCTCTCAAAGCAGCAGACTCTGGTTCCACGTCCTCTGTTTTCAGAGTTCATATTCCGTGACTTCCCGGGTTCTTGCTTCCAGAGGAGGAACTGAAATCCTCATTTTTACTAAGATAACATGACAGCAGTGTTAAGAGAGCTCTATGAAAGGAAGAAATTCATCCACCAACACAGCAGCGGAGCTCCTGTCACCTGACCCCGTGTCCTTCAGAGCGGGATCGCGCGGCCCTCTCTGTTCCTGCAGAAAGGCCACTCCCTCTTCCGCTCGTCCCACACGCTGTCTGTTGTAATGCAGGGTCCACACACCCGGCGTTTAGCGGCTGTGACGCTCCAAGGTTTCGCTGCGCCTTAATTTTGCTCACCAGACCGATGTTGGGGAGAAAGTCGGACTGGACCGTGGTGCGAAGCCTGGTTCCCTTATAGCCTTCACCTCACTGTCCGAGCAGCCCCTCTGACCTTCAGCCCAAGCCCGCCCTGCTCACATGACTGACCCCACCCCCCTCGGTCATGGCCATGAACCCCGGACGTGAGCCCCTCACGCGAGCCGGAGTGAGCTGGCAGCCGAGTCGCAGAGAGCGGAGCAGCCAGACTGAAGGTGTCCAAACCTCAGTGAAGTTTCTAGGTTTGCCCTGAGTTTCGCACCTCCTGGGTCTTGCTTGGGCTGACACCGGAGCCTGAGGGCTCTAGATCCGGACAATCAACTCCCCACCGGAGCCAGTTTGCAGAGGTTTCCGCCGCAGGTCTCGCCAGCCCCAGCCCCATCCCCCTTGTCTGATTCTCCGACGCCGCACGCCCAGAGGAGACAGATCCAAGCAGGATGGGGAGCCCCGGCCCCGGGCGATCGCGGTGCTCCCCGTGTCTCGTCGCCGTTCTTTCCAGTCACTCACAAGCACGCATCGGAATTCATTTTTTGCCTCCCTGAAGAGGAGCCCTTTGGTCCTTCGAGGTTACTGGAACGAAGCACTCATTCTCGTGTACGTTGTGACTTTATTTCCAGAGTAATACTGACCGGTCACGCCCGTGCCGGCCATAGTTCATTACACACGCAGTGATTGAGTTTCCACGCCCCGTTGCCGAGGGAGGTGTCCTGTTCCCTGCTTGCTCAAGTCCCTTCCTCCCCTGCAAATGATTTCTTCTTTCATCTCCTCATCTGTTGCTGGATTCTGCCGGACAAAAAGTGTGTGCTGGACCCTTGCTAAAACGACGAGGAAGACTTAATTTAGGACCGTCCCAGCGAGAGCAAGGGCATGCCCCCGTGGTGAGCGCGGCTTGCTGCCCGAAGGCCGAGCCAGAGCGGCTTGGGCGTTCTCGCTGAGCCGGCCGCACAGGGTTCTGGGCGAAGGCAGGCCCGGGGCTGGGGTGTCAAGGGTCGGGGGCAGGTGCTGGACTGACTTAGCAGGGTCCCCGCTATAACGGGGCTTAGTGGGCGGGGCCAGGGGCCTGGGTGAGGTCAGTCCTCAGGAGAGCCCGACGAGTTTGCTCAAGGACAGGCGTCTGCCGCCCCGAGGTGTGCAGTGCGCGCTCCGTCCAACACGCCGTGGGAGCTGCTGGAGGAGGGCTTCCCTGCGGTG